TTCTTCTCTCATTTTGATTTAATTTTGTTTTACAGTTATTTAAAACATTTACATGATTCCAAAATCATACCTAGTCACTAACATTACATCTATTGGACATGCAGTTTACATGCACAGGCAGTTTGGTACCGTGGGATGCTGTTAATAATCTTTTAAGTACTATAGGTCGTGAAAAAAACAACTGCTCGTGCGATATTTGACTCAGAACAGCAAAGCTATGTCAACAGTATTCAAAACTGCTAGAAAAAAAATTAGCAACAGAAAATATTTTAAAAATGTACAACCAATTTCAAGACACGTTAAGTGTTATTAATGCAGTGATAAAAACTGTAGCGGCTGTTGGTTAAACAGCAGGTGAAATCAAAGGGCAAACTGACCAACATGCAACTAATACTACTAGCCAAAAGAAGCACTAACAAAAACTGGTTGGATAAAAGTGGAAGAACGAGATTGATTAACATATTAAATTTGTCAAAGACAATTTATAATGTAGTAAAAGGTTGGAAAACATGCAAGTTATGCAATTACTCAAGCAAAAATGTCTCAGCATGATGGACAACTGTGAAAATCTTTAAAATGGCATTAAATGAAATAATCCCAAAAGGGTAACAGAGGTCATACAGAATAAGAGATGTACCATGGTATCCAAATAGCTATAATCAATATCATTTAATCGTTAGTAGTTATAAGAGGTGGGCTAAGCATGCAAAGCAATGTTGTGACCATCACATTTTAATTATGCTTTCTTTCCAATCCTGCCCTGCAAAACAATCACAAGATTTGTGTCACAGCATGCCAGTACAACTTTTATCAGGTAGACCTAATGCTGCATGAGCCTGTGGAAAGAACACTAATTCAGATATGAAAAGATCTTGGTTCTACTTATCTGCTATGTAATCTTGGCCAAATCATTCAAACTCAAAATTCTGGTATAAAATAGAAACATGGTTTGTACCTGCACTGCTCTACAGAAATATAATGAAAGCCACAAATGAAATTTTAAAAATTTCTAGTAGCCACATTTAAAAAAGGAAATAAAATTAATTTTAATACCATGTCTAGAATATTATTTCAGTGTAAAAATTGAGATACTTATTTTTTCATACGGAATCTTCAAAATCCAATGTAAATTTTACACTTACATATATCAGTTTGAATTAGCCACATATTAAATGCTCAATAGCTAACTGTATGCTGTCATACTGGACAGCATAGCTCAACCATTTTCAAACTTTTCATGGGGAAACAGAAGCAGCATGAGACTCAACTGAGCCTCAAAGCTCCACGGAACATAATTTTAACACTGCTGGTCTAGATTATTGCAAAGGTTCTTTCCAGTGAAAAAGACTATTATTCTTTATGGCAATGGTCACTTACACTGAACTGCTGTAACCACTTAGCTGAGTTTCAGATAAAAGACCAGTAATGCTATGAATTTATTTTCTATCCATTTCAGTGTTTTTACATACATATGCTTTATCTTGTCCATAATCAGACACTTAAAGACATTCACAATTATTGTGTAACTGTAATATATCAGAAAATAATAACCTATCTCAGAGTTTGGTTGAGATGATTAGAGAAGTTAATTCATTAAGTGCTTAGAATAGCAAACACTCAACAGTTAACTGTTATCATCAATACTTCATCATTAATCCACTACACTATCCTAGAACTGTCCAGCTCTATTCACGACAGGATTAAAACATATTATAGCTTTTCTTCCCAAGGTCAATAAAATTTTCATGCCAGTTGTAAACTAATCAGCATAATAATCTACCTTATACAATGAGACATACAGATCAAAAATAGTAGAATCAGGCCTTCTCATCCTTTTAGTCTCAGAAATACTACCCCACAATGACAAAAGGGACAAGAAACAAAAACAGTATGTGTAGCTCCCAGCCATATCTACGACAATGGAAAAACAGATTGAGAAACGACATACGAGTTAGAGTGGAGGAAGATCAAACCTAAGAGCCTATGGAGGAATATACTGTTGAGAAGCAAGCCCACAAACCACACAGAGCCTTGGAAAGCCTCAGAAATTTTTCTTAATTGAGGTATAACGGAAAGCTGTAGTGAGGTAGCAGACTGAAACAAGGGCACGGTTTGAAAAAGAGAAAATTAAGAAAACCAGCCTAGTAAGTCTAACATTTGACTTACAGGATTATGAGAAAGGAAGGAGCTTCTCAATGAATTAACACAGGAAAATTCCCAAGAACAGAGTCTTATACTGAAAGTACCCTCCTTTATCCCATCACCACACCAGCTAAATTTTGTATTTTTAGTAGAGACAGGATTTCACCACGTTGGCCAGGATGGTCTCGAACTCCTGATCTCAGGTGATCTGCCCACCCTGGCCTCCCAAAGTGCTGGGATTACAGGCATGAGCCACCCCACTCGGCCTCATTATAGTTTTAACTTTCATTTATTTGATAATTAGTGATGTTGACCATTTTTTCATGGTCACTTGTATGTCTTCTTTTGAGAAGTATCTTTTCATGTCCTTTGCCCACGTTTTAATGGAGTTTTTTCTTGTTGAGTTCCTTGTAGATTCTGAACATTAGAACTTTGTCAGATAGTGTTAACAAATATTTTCTCCCATACTGCAAGTTGTCTGTTAAATATACTATTGCATTTGCTGTGCAGAAGCCTTTTAGTTTAAGCCCCATTTACCTATTTTTGGTTTTTGTATGTTTCCTTTTGAGGACTTAATCATAAATTCTTTGTTTAGATCAATGTCCAGAAGAGTTTTTCCCAGGTTTTCTTCTAGGATTTTTATACCTTCAGGTTATATATTTAATTATTGAATCCATCTTGAGTTAATTTTTGTATATGGCAGGGGTACACTTTCATTCTTTTGCATACCGCTCTCCAATTTTCCCAGCACTATTCATTGAATAGTGTATCCTTTCCCCCGTATATACTTTTGCCAACTCTGTCCAAGATCAGTTGGTTGACAGTATGGGGCTTTATTTCTGGATTCTCTATTCCATTCCATTGACTTATATGTCTACTTTTATACCAGTACTGCGTTGTTTTCAATTACTACAGCCTTGTAGTATAATTTGACATCAGCTAATGTGATACCTCCAGCTTTATATTTTGCTTAAGATGGCTTTGGCGATGGGGGTTCTTTTTTGGTTCCGTATGAATCCCAGGATTGTTTTCCCTTATTCTGTGAAGAATGACATTGGTAATTGGAGAGAAATTGCACTGAATCTGTAGATTGCTTTCAGTAGTACACAAATTTTATAATGAAGTTTAATTACATGAAATCAGTAGTCACCAAGAAGAAATAGAATAAAATGAACACTGCGTTAATCAAAGAGTGCCACTGCTACACCTTCAAATGGTGTTATGCCAAATACGATCCATACACTGGTGGTTATATTCAGACCTATACCTGGGTTCACATGTATCATACATGTATTCCATTTAAATATATGAATATAAATATATAACCATGCTGTTATGATTTCTGAGAATAAAAGGAAAGGAAATTACTGTAATCTCAGCATTTTGGGAGGCTGAGGCAGGCGGATCACGAGGACAAGAGATCGAGACCATCCTGGCCAGGATGGTGAAACCCTGTCTCTACTAAAAATACAAAAATTAGCTGGGTGTGGTGGCATGCGCCTGTAGTCCCAGCTACTCAGAAGGTTGAGAATCGCTTGAACCTGGGAGGTGGAGGTTGCAGCAAGCCAAGATCACGCCACCATACTCCAGCCTGGTGACAGAGCAAGACTGTCTCAAAAAAACCACACACACACACACACACACACAAAAAAAACAAAAAAAGAAAGAAAAGGAAATTCACCCAAAAAATACAAGCTAATATAAAAGCTCACTGAAAGAAAAGGATCCATTTCCAGTTCAAAAATAAATAAATATATAAATAAGAGAAAATTAAGGGAATACATTCAAAGATGATAAAGCAGAAGGTCAAGAACTCATAATTTGCTACACTCAATATAAAGTCTATTACAATATTACAAAGTATCTTTGCCAATAATAAAGTGCTTGATTCATATATCTACAACCCTAACAAATAAAATACTGAGGTTGTAATGTACTGTTGGACTTCACCTAACTGGATTATCTAATGCAGTTTTTCATAAAATCTATTTTGAGAATATTTCACTATGACTGCAAAATATTTATAATAGAATATCTTATTTCTCAAGCATGAGGGTTCTAATTCATCTGACTTTATGGAATTTCTATAGTAAGGATCAAATGCTCCTTCAGGCTCCAAAGTCCCTCCTTAGCAAAAAAAAAAAAAAAAGTCACTTAAGCCTTATGTCTTTTCATTTCTTTGCCAAAAGTAATAGACCACTTGTCAACAGCATTTTCAAAGGAAGGCTAAAAAAAAAAAAATGTTCTAACTGTCTTTATGAATAATAATTAATCTGGAACAAAAAGACATATTCTGTGAATGAAATTTTACTTTAGAATGTTAGGTAACAAATAAATGTAAAGACAAACATGAAACAAGTGCAAGTGTAGCAAATTGTTGACAATTACTGAATTCAAAGGACTGGTTTATGAGGTTTCTCCTTTCTTTTTGTATATATTTTTACATTTCCAATTTTAATTTACAATGAACAGCAACACTTTATTGGTCACTTGTGAATTTATTAACAAACATACACCAAAAAAATCTTAAAGAAATTCTAAAGTTTACACCTTTAGAAAACTAAAATACACTAAAAACAAATAGGCGAAAATATTGAACAGTGTAGTTATGCTGAGAAAATCAGAATGTGACAGATTTCCCCATTCTTGTATACCACTTTTCAGGACCTCCTCATTCCCACTCCAAAAAAGTAATTTTACAGGGGAGAACAGGAACACACACACACACGCGCGCGCGCACATACACACACACACACACACACACACACACAGACAACATTGTTAAAATAAAAGAAGGTAGTTTCAGGCTTAAAATGGAACATTAAATTCTTTAAAACAAAAAAAGGTAAAGGATTTACCTGTTCTTCTCTTTTCTGCTTTCGTAACTGTAGTCCTTCTTCCTCCCTCCTCCTGCGCATCTCATCGGGATTCAGAGATTTGTTCTTATAACTTTTTAGGCGAAAGTTCTCTTTTCCTGGGGTAGTCATGATTTCTACAATAAAAGTGGGCAGAGAACAAATGAGTTTACTGTGAAGAGCTCTGTTATTCTAGGAGCTCAGTCTTTTAAACATATACATGCCCAGACATATCCCAAAGGGACATCAGAAATGGCTACTTCCCCTCCCCAACTCCTGCCTTTTTTGAGACAAGGTCTTGCTCTGTCCACCCAGACTAGAGTACAGTGGTGCAATCATAGCTCACTGCAGCCTCAAACTCCTGGGTTCAAGCAATCCTCCTGCTTCAGGTTCCTGAGTATCTGGGACCACAGGTGCATGCCACCACGCCCAGCAAATTTTTTTATTATTTGTAGAGACAGGGTCTGATCATGTTGCCCAGGCTGGTCTTGAACTCCTAGCTTCAAGTGATCCTCCCACCTTGGCCTCCCAAAGTGCTGGGATTTCAGGCGTGAGCCACTACACCTAGCCAGGTTACTTTAACAGTTTTATTAAAATGTGCTATTCAACAGCTTTTAGTGTATTTACAGCTTGTACAACCTTCATCACAGTGAATTTTGGGACATTTTAATCACCTCAAAAAGAAATCCTGTATTGTTTAAGCTATCGTCCCTATTATGGACATTTCACATGAACAGAACAGAATCATGTAATATGCAATATTCTGTGACTGGCTTCTTTCACTTAGCATGTCTTCAAGGTTCATCCATGTTGTAGCATATATCAGTACTTCATTTCTTTTTAGGCTGAATTCCAAATGGACATTTGGAATGTTTCCACCTTTCAGCTACTATGAATAACACTTCTACAAACATTTGTGGTCAAGTTTTACACGTTTTAATTTCTCTGGGTTACATACCTAGAATCGCTAGGTCATATGGTAACTATGTTTAATTGCTTAAGAAACTGCTCAACTGTTTTTCCAAAGTGTCTGTACCATTTTATATTCCCATCAGCAGCATATGAGGCTTGCAGTATCTCCACATCCTTGCCAGCACTTTACTATTAAAACTTTCATTGAAATCATCCTAACGGGTGTGAGTGGCATCTCATTGTAGTTTTGGTTTGCAATCCCCTGATGACAAATGAGATAGAGCATCTTTTCACATATATATTTGTTAACTGTGTATCTCCCATTAAAATAAAGTATATTGAGAGCCTTCGCCCATTTTTAAATTAGGCTGTCCTTTTATTATTGAGTTGTAAGAGTTCTTTTTACATTCTAGATAAGCGTCACTTATCAGATATGCTTTTCAAATATATTCCATAGTCTTTTCACTTTCTTGGTGTCCTTTGAAACACAAAAGTTTTAATTTTGATAAAGTCCAAATTAATCTGTTTTTTGTTGTTGTTGTACATGCTTTTGGTGTCATATCCAAGAATCCTTAACCTCGTACTTCTTTCCAAGAGTTTTACCTGTTACATTTAAATCTGTGATCCATTTTGAATTAATTTTTGTTTGTAGCATGATATGAGAGTCCAGCTGCATTTTCTGCTTGTGTCTATCCAGTTATCCCAACACTACTTGTTGAAAAGACTCCTCTTTCTCCACAGAATGGTCTTGGCACCTGCTACAGACTGAATGTGTATCTCACCCAAATTCTTATGTTAAATCCTAACTCCCAATGTGATAGAGGTTGAAGGTGAAGCCTTTGGGAGATGATTAGCCCTTAGTGGTAGAGTCCATATAAATAGGATTAAAGCCCTTAAAAAGAGACCCCCAAAGAGTTCACGTGCTCCTTCAGCCATGTGAGGACACAAGAGAAAAGAAAGACATCTGTAAACCAGGAAGCAGGCACTCATCAGACACTGAATCTGCCAGTGCCTTGATCTTGAACTTCCCGGCCTCCAGAACTGTGAGAAATAAATTTCTATTGTCTGTTAGCCACCTAGTCTCCGGTATTTCATTACAGCAACCCAAACGGACCATGACAGCACCTTGTTGACAACCAGCTGACTATATACATATATGTGGTTTAATTTCTTGACATTCAATTCTATTCCACTGATCTCTATGTGTATCCCTGTACCAGCCCCACACTGTCTTGGTTACCATTGCTTCAAAGTAAGTTTTGAACTCGAAAAATGTGAGTCTTCTTACTTTTTTGGTTCTTTTTTCAAGATTGTTTTGGCTATTATTGATCCCTTGCAATTCCATATGAACTTTAGAAACAGTTTGTCAATTTCTATGAAGAAGTCAGCTACAATTCTGATAGGAGACTGCACTGAAATCTGTAGATCAATTTGGGAAATACCAGCACCTTAATGTTAAATCTTCCACTTATTTAAGACAGGAGTTCTATTTAGATCTTAATTTCTGTCTATAATGTAGCTTTCAGAGTATGTTTTATACTTTTGTTAAATTCATTCCTAAGTATTTAATTTTATGCCAATGGAAATGAAATTGTTTTAATTCTCAGATTGTTCATCACAAATCTAGAAAAATATGATTGATTTTTGTATATTGATCTTGTATTCTACAATCCTGCTTATTTAATTGTTGCTAATGCTTTATCTGATACACATCATGTCATCTACAAACAGATAGCTTTACTTCTCCCTTTCCAATTTTGATGTCTTTTACTTCTTTTTCTTGTCTAACTACCCTGGCTAGAGTCTCCAATACAATGTTGAATAGAAATAGAGCAGACATCCCTGTCTTATGCTAGACCTTAGAATGAAAGCAGTCTTTTACATTAAGTATGATGTTACCTTTGGATTTTCTGTGAATGCACTTTTATCAGGCTGAGAAGTTCCCTCTTATTCTCAGTTGACTGTTTTATCAATAAAGAGTGTCAGATTTTGTCAAATGCTTTTTCTGTGCCTATTGAAATTACAACGTGTCTTTTTTTTTGTTTGTTTTTTGGGGTTTTTTTTAACACACAAGGGCCAGGTACAGTGGCTCATGTCTATAATTCTAGCATTTTGGGAGGTCAAGGCAGAAGTATCACTTGAAACCAGGAGTTCAAGACCAGATTGGGGAACATGGTGAGACTGATAAAAATCAGACAGGCTGGTGGTGTGCACCTGTAGTCCCAGGTACTCAGGAGGCTGAGGCAGCAGGATGGCTTGAGCCCAGGAGTTCCAGGCTGCAGTGAGCCATGATCACACCACTGTACTCCATCCTGGGTGACAGTGAAACCCTGTATCTTAAAAAAAAAAAAAAAAAAAAAAAAAAAAAGATGGGTTTATATTTTCTTGTGATATGTTTGTCTGGCTTTGATATCAGAGTGATACTGGCTTCATAAAATGAGTTGGAAAGTATTCCCCAAGAAGATTTTGTGAAGAATTATATTCTTTATTTCTTTAAATATTTGGTAAAATTCAGCGTAAAACCATATGGGCGTAGGCTTTTTCTTTGCAGGCAGTTCTGTGACTACTAATTCAATGTCTTCACATGTTACAGGTCTATTCACATGGTCTGTTCCTTATTGAGTCAGTTTTGGTAGTTTTTGTCTTTCCAAAAATTTGTGCACTTCATCTAAGCCATTTAATTTACTGGGATACAACTGTTTTTTTGTTTTTTTGAGACAGAGTCTCACTCTGTTGCCCAGGCTGGAGTACAGTGGCGCCATCTCGGCTCACTGCAACCTCTGTACCTCAGGTTCAAGCCATTCTCCTGCCTCAGCCTCCGAGTAGCTAGGATTACAGACATGTACCACCATGCCTGGCTAATTTTTGTATTTTTAGTAGAGACAGGGTTTTACCATGTTGGCCAGGCTGGACTCAAACTCCAGACCTCAGAAGACCCACCTGCCTCAGCCTCCCAAAGTCCTGGGATTATAGGCATGAGCTACCATGCCGGCCACAACTGTTAATAGTATTTCTTTATAATCTTATTAATTTTTATAAGGTCACTAGTGATGTCCCCTCTTTCATTTCTAGTTTTTCCCCCCACAGACACTCTCTCACTCTGTTGCCCAGGCTGGAGAGTGCAGTGGCACAATCATGGTTCACCGTAGCGTCAACTTCTTGACTCAAGCAATCCTCCCACCTCAGCCTCCCAAGTATCTGGGACTACAGGCACTTGCCCAAATTATTATTATTTACTGGTGGGGGGGCGTTGGGGGGATAGAGATGGGGTCTCAGCACGTGGGAAACTGGTCTCAAACTCCTGAGCTCAAGTGATCCTCCTGTCTCGGTCTCCCAAAGTGCTGGGATTACAAGCATGTGCCACTGTGCCTAGGTAATCTGAAAAATGTTGAGTTTTTTCTCAATCTAGCTAAAATTTGTCAATTTTATTCATCTTTAATGCTCTCTATTGTTTTCCTATTCTCTGTGTCACTAATTTTCACTCTACTCTTTATTTGCTTCTTTCTGCTTGCTCTGTTCTTCTTACCTCAGTCACTTAAAGTAGAAAGTTAAGTTACTGATTTGAGATCTTTCTTTTTTTTTTTTTTTTTTTTTTTTGAGACAGAGTCTCACTCTATTGCCCAGGCTGGAGGGCAGTGGCACGATCTCGGCTCACTGCAACCTCTGCCTCCCAGGTTCAAGTGATTCTCCTGCCTCAGCCTTCCAAGTAGCTGGGATTACAGGTACCCGCCACCACACCCAGCTAATTTTTGTATTTTTAGTAGAGATGGGTTTCACGATGTTGGCCAGGCTGGTCTCAAACTCCTGACTTCAAGTAATCCACTCACCTCCGCCTCCCGAAGTGCTGGGATTACAGATGTGAGCCACTACACCCAGCCTCCTTTCTTTTTAATAAGGGCATTCACGACTAAGTTTCCTTTTAAGCACTGCTTTAGCTGTATCCCTAAGTATTCCTACATGATGTCTTCATTTTCATTTATCCCAAAGCGTTTTCTGATTTCCTTTTTGATTTCTCCATGGACCCATCAGTTATTTAGAAGTATGTTCTTTAACTTACACATATTTGTGAGTTTCTCAAATTTCTTACTGTTACTGATTTCTAATTTCTTTCCATTGTGATCAAAGAACATGATTTGTATCAATTTAATCCTTTTACATTTATCTAGCTTGTTTTGTAGCCCAGTAAAACGCAAAATGCACACGTAACACTTCCTATCCTGGAAAA